CAAATTGGGGGGTTTTCAGTGAAGGACGGCAGGGCTCCTTTCAAGCAGTAGTGGATAGTGCCAGATAATCGAATCCTGGGTGGTCACGAAAGTGTGAACTCCTTCATCTGCTTGTGCAAGGACTATGAATCAGAAGCCATGAATGTTGTCTTCATTCATTTGCAGCAGACCCCTGTCCGCCGAATGGCGATGCTCTGACTAATACTACAGTTTCGCGATTAAGTGCCATTTATAGCAATTTGACAAAGACGAGCGAGAACGATAGAAGAACTGGAAGCACGCGCAAATAGTGTGTGGAGAAATTTGGATGGTGATGTCTACACGTGTACAGGAATGTGTTGACTTGCATTTGTGGGTAGTCGGGAGATATCTATAGAAAAGGAGATTTACTCGCGCGACACAAGAAGGATGTTCTGACTGGCGGTCGGGAGCTATGTCGGGCTCACGTTGTGCCACGTGATACTCGCACGCGGGCCTTGGAGCTGCACGGCACTGCGCTTGAAAACAGTACGAGTCCCGTTTTAGTCCCGGTTGAGATATAAAGGCAGTGTGCAATACTGTATGTCGGGAGAGTGCTTCGGAAATGAATGGGCGCTTGCATATGTGTCACGTGGAAAGATGGGAAGATGGGTTGCAAGTTGTGATCTCAAGAGGAAATACGTTGCTGCATTGTTGGAAGCCAGGCATGAGTGTGAGTGCCTCCTTGTGCTTAAACGAGATGATACTGTACGAAGATGCAATGAAAGACTTCGTACTAAACGTAGGAAACAGCGTCCACGCAGCCCTGGATAGCTGAATTGTAAATAGCAGTTGCGCGGGTGAGGGAGGTGGGATGCACTTCAGTAAAGACGTGCGGACTAAAAGATGGACAGTTACAGAGCCATACCGCTACTGTACGTACAACTTGTACTGAGAGACATGACTAGGATACGTTGCAGTCAGGCATGGCTGTATCGTGAGCAATCCTTCGTGTCGGTATCATGACGGGGGAGTGTTGATTCTGCTGTATCTATGAGGTGAATGTCAATGGTTGGCGGAATCGTGGTCCAGTTGTTGTCATTATTTGCAAATCGGGTACGGCGTGTCCACTTTGCAGTTTCTAGCAGAACAGGCATTTTGCAATCGGATATGTATAGTTTATTTGAGCACACAAGGAACCTAAACGGCTGCAAGGGATCAAAGAGGCATGCGGGGCCACGATCAATTCGGGGAAATATAGGCTTGTCCTAGAACTTGAGGGTACATGAGGCGGGCACGCTCTAACTCATTCGAGGTGAGCACAGCATGCAAGCGGGACACCTGCTAGCAGATGAGTGTTAGGACGTCGGCATTGTCTATATTTGCAATCGATTTACGAAGCGCAGTAGATAATACCTGCATGGGCGGAGCAGCTAGAAATAGCAGCACAGAGGCGGCAGCCCAGCGCTTCGTACTGAATAGTATTGCATCCTTTCAGTCCGTTGAGTCTCCTCTTTGACTATCCGCTCCTTTGCTCCCTCTACGACATGGCGCCCCACACGAAAACAGTACAGTTGCATGGGGTTGATGTCTACATTCCAACTGGGAGGAGGGGATGCGTGAGCGGACACGCATTGCCGTCATTGTGCATCAAGGACTGAGATGGGGAAATCTGGCCATCTGGTTGGCAGTGGTGCTGCAGAAAGGGGCAAAATGTTATGCATAGCTTTCTATGGTCCTTTTTTGAGGTTGCCATGTCATGGAATAGTTAATGAAGCAATGTCGGTGAGGGTCGCACCGCAGGACGTGGTTGGACCGCATGTCAGATTGGGTTCAATTAATCATCTGCTTTCACAGAGTGTGACAGGGTTATGGAGGGCCTTGTCGAGAGCGAGCGATCATTTTTGGCGAAAGCGGGGGGTGCGGGGTGGCGGGGATACGTTAGGATATTCATCGGAGGGAGAGGTACCCGGAAGACGATTCGCTGTTTTCGATATACTGCATGGGTATTGTACGGTAGAGAGGGGTGCTGCCTTCAGAACCAATCAGGTAGATCAAAAATTCTACAAAAAGTTGTTATTAAAACCCATCTTTAAAGGCGCCGCATCGCATGCCCAGCTAACGAGCATCGCCAATAATTTTGCGTGGCAAAGCATTTAAACGCGTGCCGACATGATGGACCACGTTGGAGGTTAAAACTAGCATGTCTATATAGATCTGTGACGTCGTATACACGCAAGCCAAAGTGGTCTATTTCTGATTGGCCAGTAGCATTACTGGCCCCTGACACTGAAAACAAGGCGCCGTCGTCGGCACGCCATTCGTTCGTCAGGGGTTCCGATGCCGTTCTCACATCAAGAGTGCGTGAGTCTTCAACTTCAAAGCACAGCACCTCAAACGCCGCCCTTCTTGCCCAATGTACCCACTTCCAGGTTGTACGTTTTGGATTCCATTGGATAATATCCCATCGCCCAGTGTCTTGTACGGTACAAGTATCCAAGCAGCAACGATACCGCACTTTGTCGACCTGATATGGTGCCGTGACGTCAGTAGTGTCCTAGCATGTGTCCATAGGGCACTAGTGTAAAGTGCACTTTACTGTGCTCGAGTACAAGCCTGCTTTGCAACGAATCGTCAGTTTTCGCATGATTACAGCAGATGCACAAGCGTTATCATTTTTAGAATGGTTGTGAACAACGGCAGTCGAGTTTTTTGAAGAGTAAGAAAACTAGCGGGACGTATCGAGAATGTTTACAGCATGGGCAAATTGGAAACGCTGGCAGTAAATTGATGACACTCACCACCGCCTATCGAAGGGTTGTGGGGGAAGGATACTTGTACTGTACATGTCCTTCATTTGCTTCACTGAGCCGTGCATGAGGAATGTTGGGGCTTGCGGTGGTGGGTAGAGATAGGGGCATGACTTTACAGTTTTGCCAGCAGATACCGCACCGCGCTGTAGGAGCGGACTTGTATTGTGCGTTTCACAACAAGCAAATGGACTGCCCTATTTTTCAAGGAACAGGGCCTGTCGAATAATGGGGTCGTCGTTGCTGTCGAGGCATCTACGGGAGAATGGTCCATCGAGAGGGGCTGGACTGGATGAGAGATGTCCCTGTTTGTTTCGAGATAGAAGCATACGACGATGATACCGCAGCTGGTCACACAGTAAACTTGCGCTTCAGCGTGGCAGGCTGGGGCTGGGTGTTGTCGTATAATAACTCCTCGTGGGGAACTGGGGGTCGGGCCGGGCGGGGTGCGCAGGGTCGGTTCATAGAGATCCGCCGCTGTGATGTCTCAGCGTCGAATCGTTGCGGAGTGTGTGTAAATGCTCTAGGCGGGCCGTCGAAAACCTCTTGTTTTGGACAGCTCCAATGAGTCTCCCATTCCATTGCGCCGTTGAGAGGACGCCGTTGATTCCAATTCAGATGTGCACAGAAAAAGCGCCCCACAGATGAAGCAAATATTGGTCAGGTGTCTTAAACCCAACCTCGAAGGCCCTAGTTCCAACCCTGACACCGCCCGTCGGTCTGCACTGACACCCCCGTCAGCGCTGTCTCTAGCTTTCGTCACCCAGCCAGCATGCGGAGCAAGGCCAGGCCGTGTTCGTGCCAGCACCAGTATCATCTCTCACTTATCTTGACAATGTGCACAGGATATGACGCAAGTCTCATGCGGCTGACTTCATCACACCTAACGGGGCAGAAACTGCGACGAACGCGCCAGCGCTTGTTGTGTGTTGTTTCGCTAGGTCACGCATCTTAAAAGGGCAACTCGCGAGGCAGCGTAAGCTTTTTTTTTTTTTTTTTTTGCTGTCCTGAAGGTTTCGTGATGAGGATCAGCCGCTGGACAGATCTGTTACAGTCAGCGTACTGTCTGACGATTGACTAGAATACTGCACTGTACACTAGTGGCATTTGAGCTGGCACCAACTCAAGTGCTACGGAGAGTCATGCGGTGTATGCAGTACGAGGAATGAAACGTAGCGCAGAAGGTGTCCGTAGATAGGAAAGTTACAGCTAAATACGCTAACGAGTAGCCGTAAAATTAGATCCAAGATGCTGCCACAGCATCGTAGTGTACAGTAGATACACGTCGTACTTTTTCTTTACCATGTAGCAGCGAGAGGAGGCACAGCGGTGGAAACATGCGGCACACTCGGTGAGCGCGTGTTGTCAGACTGATTCTTCAGAGAAAAACGAGACCGGCATTGCGGCAGATCTGCGGATTTGCACGCTGCGCATCAGGTGACTGTAACTGTCCAGTGGGTGCGGGGAGGTTGGGAGTGAGCGGGATGTTTACAAGTTAGAACTGAGCGCTTGTGATGACAAGAGGGTGTGAAGGTTTATCGGACAAAGGGTATCGATTGGCAATTTCATCTGCCTCCCTGTCCAGCTGGACACAGGCCGGCGGCACGGAGAGGTCGGTGGAAAGGAAAGATGGCGTGAAGAAGCACCTCATGGAATTGTAAGAGAAGAGTTGATGTCTACTGTACTGTGGTTGTACGTGATGAGACACATTGCATCTGAGTGCGGCCATCAGAAATCCAGGAGGTGAGGGAAGAAAATATTGACTGGATGAGGGAAGGTTGTTTCGTTGCCGAAAGTTGGTTGAATGGGTCAAGAGTTTCTCTACTAAGGCCTTTTGCAAGATTGCAGGGGGAGGTGCCGAAGTCTTGAGAAGGTCTGGCCTTGTCATGCTGGTGGGAGAGGCGAGCACTCCGTGTCAAAGCTTAGCAGACAAGGAGCAAAACTGTAAGGCTTGTGTGATAGTTTTGGTATGAGAATTGTAAGCGTGCGACCAGCAATGCCGCGCAGAAAACAATGCTCGGAGAGAGTTGTGACGATACCACTAGTGGCGACTATCCATGGCCGTATGTGGTTCTTGATGCACATTTGGAACCATATAGTTCATATGGAAACGCAGGAAAAAAGTACTGTCTAGTTTGAGTGGCGCGTGTTGAAATAATAAAATATAAGCACTAACATGCTTTTTTGAATGTTTCTCTCCAGCCGGTTAATTTATCGTATCGTAACCAGAAAATGCTATTTACGTTTTTAATCCCTTCCCCCCGCACCCCCCCGCCTCCCCCCCAAGCTTCCTTACTTCCTTCAGCTTATAACTTCGGCAGTGCCCCGCCCCGCCTGCAGTACGCCCCGACCCCCATCGATTTCTATGTAAGGATTCTTCCTCGAAAACCGGCACCTCCTAACGCTCAGTTTTCCCACATTCCTTTATCCATACCTTTCTCACCCGCAGGCACGACTGTGTCTTCAGCAACCTCTCGCGACCCCTCTCCGTTTCGTCACTGCTCCTTGCAGTCTCCTCAGTTCCTTGTCCACCCGGCTGACTCCACAACAAGTCCGCAGGGATCTCATGCTCTCCCTTCTTGTTTAAAACCCACTCGTCTACAACGTCACAGCATGCTTGTTTCTTCTTTGACTCTCTCCAAGTTTCACATCCTACCTACGTCTGCCGTCGTTTCTCCTCTTCACCCTTTATAATTCCCACGTGCAGTCGTCATCCCAGCCCCCTCCACGACTCTCTCTCACCTTGGCCGACGACTCACGTCCCATCACCTTAACAGCGCTGCAACTTTCAAACTCTTCACCATTCTTCAACCACACTCCCACCCGTCCCTTACCCAAGCGCTTCACCATTCGGACCGCTGCTACAGAGTGCAGGCCCCCATAGCCTCTACTCGTTTGCCCAACCTGGAGCGCAGCTACTACTGGAACGCCCAAGTTAGGCCCCACATGTCGATTCTATTCGAACCAAGAATGGCCGCCAACTCTCCGCCGCGTTCCGATGGCCTCCCCCACTCACTCAGTAGCAACATTGCTAAAAAGAAGAGGGGCGGCAGGCAACTACGCCAAGTCGTCCTGTCTCCCGACCTGAAGTTTTCCATTCGTCAATTCGCTGGAGAAGTCGGGACGCCAAAGCTAATGGAGCCCACCGGATTTCGTGACTTTCGCGGCTGGCTTGAACGCGTCGCTGGGCCCTTGGCAAGAGGGTCGTGGTTCAAACTCGTTCACGCCATGATGGAAGAGACTGCTGGCGATCGTTTTCGAATTATGTTCATCAAGGAGGAGGTGGTTCGTGATATTGTCCGAGCAATTGTCGTTCCTAAACCGGGGGAGAGCGCCAAACTGGTCAGTACCAACTGTGGGAGACAATGTGCCCGCCCGCGCTCTGGGAATACGCTTATGACCATTCTCGAACGAGTCCTCGTCGAGAAGGGAATTGTCTCCGAGGCCGATATTGAAATGTTCATGCGCGATCGTGCGGCGGCTCCGCACACATACATGTACCGCGACCTACATCATCAACAGCAACACGCTGTTCGGGCTTCCGTGCCGTCAACTCCGTACTCATCAGGGCATCGAAGCATGTCTGTGGAGGCAATCACAAGCGCGCCTGAACCTCGCGTGTCACAGGCATTCAGATACCCATTTCCACCCCCTCCGCACCGAGCGAGCCTTGCCCCCCCATATCGCCCGAACCCCGAACTTGGATATCGACCAGGCCCAAGCGCCTCAGCAAGATCGCTGCCACCAATACATTTTCATGCCGTAGAGGGACGAAGCACATTACCGGGTAGCGCCGAGGCTTCTTCTACTTCGACGGGACTTGTGTACTCAGCGAGTTCGCCCCAGACGTCATCAAGTCGATTTCCTTTTACCGGAGTGGGAACATCTGGTTCACCATTGCATGCTCCACTGCCGCCTAATGCAGCAACTAACCAAGAGCGACTGCCTTCATTCAGGGAGCTTGAAGACTCGCTGGGACAAGAACGGAACTCGTAGCCCTCCCAAGTGGGCGCTTTTGTTCGAAGCTACTGGAAACACATGGACCCGCCTGTTGTCCTCAACTACATATCGTCTACCCTACGGCAAACCCCCTTTTTTCATTCTTTTTTGTTTGCAGGAGAAGAGCTTTTGGGAAGCAAATATAACGAACTGCTAACTCGGCAACAGCCAGATTCTAGCTACCTTATGTCGTCGGCGCGACCTGTTCTGGCGTGCGACACCAAAGTCGCGATAATTTCAACTTGCATACGTAAAACAAATAGTTTCTTGCCTAGAGCTCACAGGTTTCCTGTGCTGTCTACAAGCTTTCCTAACAGAATGTTGCAGAATATTGCGACTGTCGTGTATCTATGCCAGAATCCGATCTGTGAATACGTATCAAGAAGGGAAAAGCTCGTTCCATCAGTTTGCCGCAGGAGAAAGCGAAGGCAATTGAAATAATTTTCGGGGTGTACAAGAGCGATACACCCGCAGCAGGACAGGATGGAATTTTTTTGGATCATGAAGCCCGCAAGACACTCATTTTGTTATGGTTAACTATCTCCATTGTGCAATGCCGCGATTGGCAAAGGTAGCATTTACCTTCCACCAGATATTTACTGAAATACGCAAAAGCTTGGAGTGATTGGCCCCAGCGCTCGTTCAAGTTGCGAACTGTGTCGAACAGAACGAGAACATGACGATGTAGAAATAGAAGTGAGCGTCTTTCCACACACATCTCTGCGCAATGCAAATGGAACGCTTTACACAAAGACTGCGTTTATAGGGTCAAAGGTGGAGGCCATCGACGTCTAGAGTGTCGGGGACATCTCCAGACTCATCTCTCTCTCTCTCTCTAGAGGTCTAAAAAAGAAGGAAAATAGAATTTAAAGAGCGTAGAAATTCAAGTCCACATGCAAAAAAACTACATGTTCAGCATCTGAATCCTGGCGGGCCCTTTCGAAGGGTTTCAGAGGCTGTTACGCAAGACAAGGAAGGCGTCCACGAGGACACGTCGAAACATGCTGAAAGCGACATGACGATAATAGAGGTCGGCGCCATACCCGAAGACCACCTACAAATTTAGCGAGAGTGAAAGAGTGGTGCATGATGCAGGCGAACGATATTGCGTGAAGGGAGTAGTTCTTTCAGGGTGTGGAAAAAACTACGCAATGGAGACGTATTTTAAGATAGAATCTCGTCGTCCCTTTTCACCTTTTTCATCTTTCTTTTCATACGCTCGAGCATTTGTAAGGCTTGTGAGGATAACGTCTCGCGGGAAAGGGATGGGTGGAAGAGATGAAGGGGGGCCGAGGCCATGGCTGGCGGGACGTACTGTTCTGCAGAATATCTTCCTTTGACAGTGGGCACTCCACTGATCGATTTAAATTTGAAATGGAATCATGTTCTATTTGCTGCTGAGGCCAGAGAAATGGACTAGGGATGGACTATCTTACTGTACTACTGTAGTCAGAAAGCGGGGAGAGGTTTTGTATAACGGAAGCGCAGTTATGCCAGATGACGTGAACGGCAGTTGAAGCAAAAAAAATCTCTTCGTTTGTGTTTTGGAAAAGTGGTTCTGCGATCAACGTGGGCGCTTTACGTACAACCGGGCGGCAGAGTTGGTCTTGCGTTTGTTGAAGCTTGAGGCAGCAAGGACTTTGAGACCATTACACTACAGCACACAGTACAGTATTGCGGTACAATACTGGGATAAGGTTTTCCTCAAGAAATGGTACGGTAGTGTGTGCGCATCTCAAGAATGGTATCCCTAGCTAGGGTGTCAGAGAAGGGCAGGGTGCTGGAGCAAGTGAGGAACCATTTAGGAGGAGAAACGTGGAAACAAGAAAGGACACTACACCAGTTGTACCATACAGTGCATGGTGGAACTGGAAGAGCTTACAAGACTGTCTCGAAACATGAATGAAACATGGATTTCGTCACTAGCGTTTGTGGTGACCATGAGAGCAGGGCGAGGAGTGAAGTGTTACTTGCATGAGAACAACCCGTATGCGAGCAGATGCGATTATGTTAGCGATCACTTGATACAGTCAGGGTAGTGGAGGCGGTGGCAGAAGGAAGCACTCGAGATGGGGAGGTTTCCGTGTTTTTGGTGCGCCACACTGCCAGGTCGCCTTGACTGCGGCTTGAAAATAAAGAAACTGCAAGATTTTGACTTGTTGCTCTCTGCGAAACAGATTTCAACCAGTAGAACCAGTCCGCTCACTCACTCACACCGGTTTCCGTGTTTCATAAGTCAGTCAACTCTCCGCGACTACATCTCACCCTTGGACAACTTACGGTATTCACGTGGTGAGAGCACGTCTGGACACCACCACAGCCTAGTGTCCTCCCCTTTCTCACTCATTCATGTTATCAACAAAAACAGGGACACAGTGTGTGTGTGTGTGTGTGACCACACACAGTGCGCTTTCGTTTTTAGTCTCGTTCACAACTTGATAAGGAATGCTACAGTACAGTATACTGTAATTTACCACGGGGCACACGGAGTGTTTCCCTACAGGCGCTCGCATGCTTGCCGTCCTTGAAACGGGCTCCGTTTTCAGGTATCTCGTTGCATTCCTTGATTTGATAAATTTTCGACGACTCGCAAACAGGAGGATCTAGAAGTCCATCTACAGGTACCCTTCAGTTATACAGCATGTGGTCGGCATCTAATTTTTAGATGCCGACCACATGCAGGTAAAGTTATAGCGATACTGTACTGAACTGCGATGCTACGCTGCACTGCACCGTGCGTGTACGGCACATTTTAACGAATAGCACGAGGAGAATTAGGCAGGACAGCACCAACATATGCACGGCAGCAAACCAAAGCATAAAGTTTAGTCTGGGATTGTGATGCTGTAAATTTACCCTTGGGTACTGCGCTGTGCCGGATACACGGTATCATACCAAGCCATGCCCACGCATTTCTGTCGATGACAATGACCTTCGGTCGCAGATATCGCATTACCGACAAGACGTCGGCAGCGCACCGGCAGCGCGCCGGCAGCGTGCGTCGCATCCTCGACGGCCCTATAGTATTTCTATTTTCTGGAGTTGACGATTTGCTTCCGTTGTCATCTTCCATGTTTCTCTGTAACATGTCTTTGACATGCTGTATTGTGCTGTAACTGTGCTCGATACTCCTGCGGTGGCTCTTTATTTCATTCACCCGCAGGACTCTCTGCCCATGCTCGTGCACGCTTGTTTGGCCTGCAAATCACTTACTCATTGCAGTTTCTACACTTTTCGCTGTCGGCATTGTATCCTATGGTCTACTATGCTGTGCCGGGTGTAGGGTGTAGGTACATATACTGTAGCTGAATCGAGGATGTAGTGCCACGACAGCGACAGCGACAGCCACTTCAGGCGGTTTCTGCTTCAATGCTACACATTGTCGCTTTTGCCTACGGGATATGTCTACGAAGAGTGAGAAAGTTTTCTTCACAGACACAACGTCGTGCGAGAGGTCTGTAATCATTATAGGTGAGGTCGACTATCCCTCGCCGCCTTGTAGGACACCATATACCTATCGCGAGGAGTGTGTATGCTCCAAAATTATTCCGTTTTTTATCTTGTCCCGAGAGGACATAACAATCTTGTGAGTGTTCATCTTGGAGTCATACGGGACATGGGCAAGACTCTCTGTGGCGTCCACTTCTGACGCTCGTTTTGGGTAAAAGAAGGGTACCCAAGGGTACTGCACGGTGAAGATGGTAACAGTGCGGAGGCCGGAAGGTTCCTCATAAAATGGGACAAGAAGAGGTTTTATCATACAAGGACAAGCAGCACTGTACGTATTATACCGGCGATATGCTTCGACGCGGTTGAAGGATTGTACCAAGTGAATCAAGATTTCAACAACCGGATACTTGTACTGGACGGAAACAATAGACGGTCTCCAAATTGGGTGCTCCAAATTTAAACGCCACCATTGCTGTCGGACTTTGCTGTGGGAGTCAGTCATTCTGTACTGTACCATTATACAGTTACTGTAAGGAGGCAGGTACAGAGAAGTACAGGATGATACGGGACAAACTTTCCGCGCCGGCGATGCTCCATGTTGATGAAGCAAGTCTGGCATGTACCCTCCGAAGGGTAAACTACGGTCAAAATGGTGGTGTGCGCCTGTAGCTTGTGGTACCTTCGAGGGTACTTTACCCTTGGATACAGTATCATCAAATGCTGGCGTGAAGGGTGGTTGCCAGTGCCTGCATGGTTGCGGGGGGCCACGATACGCCACTCTAGGTGACTGAATGCAATGAGTAGGAAACAGGTTTCGAGGTGATTTAATTCTGAGAAGGGTGCATAAAAAAACAAATAGAGGTGCAACAAGATGCAAGGGGCGTAGCAAGAATCCGTTGAGCAAACGGAATTTCTTCAGAGATACGGTAGGGGCAAACAAATGATGACAGCGAGGTTATGTGAGTTGGCTTGTGGTGAATGCACGGATGGGCGTAGGTGCGTCAAGAGTGCGTCAAGAGTGCGTCAAGTGTACGTTAAGGGTGCGTGAATGGTGCGTGCAAGAGTCGGTAGGCACGGCAGAAAGGACCAAAGGCAAGAGCCAGGATCGATGATGTGCTGTGACTACCGTACTTTACTGCAGTTACCAGTGATCACGACATGTCCGCAGGCTTTCGCGTCAACGGCACGAGAGAATGAACCGTGGCAGAACAGGTTGATGGATGTTGAGACTTGAGAGGATGTTGATGACGCGGCGTGCCCTGCTGACCTCACCTTTGTTGTGGTCTCTGTGCGGGAACGAGAGCGTTGTGCAAGTTGAGGTGAAAGTGTTGAGAGCAATGATCCTCACTTTAGTGATCCCTATTTTACACTCTCATGATTGCTCTACCGTACAGTGTTGCGATACAAACTGTGTTTACAGACTTGAAGCACAATTTGAGGTTCCACCAGCCGGATTATTTTCAGCCGGATTATTAAAACCCGGCCACAGCGTTTTCGTGAATCGAGAATGCAGCCACGAATCAACAACCATAGGTACTTTTTAAACGGGTTTCATGTGCATCTCCCCATGAATATAATAATTGAATTATGAAAACGGTTTTGCCACCGCCTCCAAGAGCAGCTGTGCTCAAGCCATGCCATTTTTCAAATCAAATGTCGGGATGTTGTTGGGCAGGGAAAAGGAAGAATGATTGACTCAGGCACAAATAAAACCTTTTTTCGCCGCCTCAGAGCACTAGCTATGGTAAATACTTGTCCCTGTCAAGGGCGCCACCATATTGATGATATCGAGTGTCCAAACCAAAACTTATGCCGGTAGC